GTGGTTGAGACCCGGTCCTGCATTGCAGCTGGAGACACCACCACATCAGGAAAAGATGGGGAAGTCAGCACCTATGGCCACTACTGGAGCAAGCCTGGGTGTTATGCGGTTTAACTCTCGGTAGCCAACCATGAGGCACCAGGTTTTTCGGTCTGCCTTTAATACCAGCCAAATCAGAGAGTTGCAGGGACTCTCCACTTCCACAAGCACCCCTTGCTGTGAAAAGTAGTATTTGTATGTTTGTTAATATCACTTTTCACAGCAGACTTAGTAGCTAGCTAGGAGGCTGTGAAAATATTAACAAACAAACAAATATCACTCTTCACAGCCATAGAAGTACTAGCTGGCAAGTCTGGGGGGGAAAAAAAGCAACCAAAAAAAGCAAAAGAAACAACAAAAGAGAAGAACATGCAAAACACCTGATCTGTGTTTCTATTCTGTGTAGGCCCAGTAAAGAATAGAGACAACTGTACATTATTTTTATTATTGAGTCTGCAAAATATATCCTCCATAAATAAATGACAGTGATTTGGAAATGGATATGTGCATATTTATTTGTTTTTCCTAAAATTCATTATTTTAGGAAAAATTGTCAGAGTGGCCACCAGCAAGAACCCACCAAAAAATGTGTTGTGAGAACCCCACAGGACCATATTCCCCTTCGTAAGCCAGGAACAGAACCAAAGAGGCCTAATTCTCTCACAGCTGCTCTAACCCCTAGTTCATTCTTCCTCCCACATCTGGGAATAGGAATTTGGGTTCTGACTCCCAGGCCTTTTGCTCTAACTAGTAAAACACGCCTCCCCCCGCCCCCAAAGTCAGGAATGCAACTCAGGATCCTGCTGCCTCGTTCTGTCTTGTTCACTGGACCCTGTTGTCTCCTCGATGCCTGCAGTAATACTGGCAATGACGGTCCGCATCCAGAACCTCAAATCACAACTCTTTCCAAAGGCAGGGGGTGGATGGGCAGCCTCGGATCAGAGCTAGTCACTTTGAAAATGGGAGAGCTGTACGGGATGAAGGTATCTTGTGAGATAGACTCCTCTCTATCCCTGAAGCAATTTGAGGGGAGAATCTGGACACATCTTCCTCTCCCCCACATCTGCTCAGATTTAGGGTAGGGGAGACACAAACACACCCATAAAAGAGCAAGGCCCACATGGTATTCAAGCACCTGACTGCTACTGAAACCAAAGGGAGATCGGCACCTTTGAGGATCTGGGCCTAACTCCTTTAGCACCAGAGGTAGGAGCAAGTCATTTTGCGGCTGAGGGTCCTAGTTTGGATCCCTATTAATAACCATTTTCAGAGGGGCAGCCATGTTAGTCTGTATCAATAAAAATGAGGAGTCCTGTGGCACCTTTGTCAGGGTTCCCTCCCCACTCTGAACTCTGGGGTACAGATGTGGGGAGCCACATGAAAGACCCCCTAAGCTTATCTCTAGCAGCTTAGGTTAAAAACTTCCCGAAGGCACAAATTCTTCCTTGTCCTTGGAACGGTATGCTGCCACCACTAAGTGAGTTAGACAAAGATTCAAGGAAAGGACCACTTGGAGTTCCTGTTTCCCCAAAATATCCTCCCCAAACCCCTTCACCTCCTTTCCTGGGGAGGCTTGAGAATAATCTACCAACCAGATAGGTAAACAAGGTGAGCACAGATCAGACCCTTGGGTTTTTAGGACACTAAAAACCAATCAGATTCTAAAAAAAACAACAGACTTTATAATACAGAAAGAAAAAGTAAAAGAAGCACCTCTGTAAAATCAGGATGGAAGGTAACTTTACAGGGTAATAAGATTCAAAACATAGAGGATCCCCCTCTACGCAAAACTTTAAAGATACAAAAAAACAGGGATAAACTTCCCTCTTAGCACAGGGAAAATTCACAAGCTAAAACAAAAGATACTCTAACGCATTTCCTTGCCGTTACTTACAATTTCTGTAATTTTAGATGCAGATCATTCAGTAGGAGCGGAATACTTGCTTGGTCTTTCTCTTTGTCTCCCAAGAAGCGCGCGCGCACACACATGCACACACACACACACACCCAAAGCAAAAACCTTCCCCCACAGATTTGAAAGTATCTTCTCCCCTTATTGGTCCTTTTGGTCAGGTGCCAACCAGGTTATCTGAGCTTCTTAACCCTTTACAGCTAAAGGAGGGATTTTATGCTACCCTTAGCTGTATGTTTATGACAGCCTTAAAAACTACCAGATTTATTTGGGCATAAGCTTCAGTGGGCTATAACCCACTTCATCAGATGCATGGAGTGGAAATTACAGTAGGCAGGTACAAATATACTAACACACGACTAACTGTGATGTCTGTCCCGATGCCTGTACACAGGGCCTTGACTATGCTCCACCAAGGCTTCGAGATATGGCTCTAGCAGGCTAAACAAAGCTCAATGGGGCAGGATACGTCTTAAACTGACAAAGGGGGGGGCGTGGCTCGTCTGGCTGCAGCTACAACCCATCTTGGGGACAAGGAATGTTTCAGTAAAGAAAGAGAAGGCGACAACTCTTTTTTGTTCGCTCCCATGTTTATTTCTGTATTTAATGCCACATGGCCCAGCCAAGAGAGCCCTGTAGCATCCCCTAGAAATCCTGTTCTAAAAACACTTTGGTCCCGGATTATGTGAATCATAAAAAAATAAAAATAACGTTTGCTAAAATAACCCTGTCAAATGCCCACCAAACCCTCCTTGCAGTTGAAGATTCTTAAATTCTAATTGGCAGGAAATCCTGTAACACACAAAAGGTGCTGAAAAGAAACAAATGCTTCAAATGGCAAGTCATTCATTAGTGTTAAGATGTGTTATTTGGATCGTGTTAGCACGTGCCCGTACAAGTCGGGGCTCTGGGGCCCATGGTGCTGTATTTCAAGACAGCCTGTGCCCCGAAGAGCTCACAATCTTTGTATGTGAGGAGAGGAAAGCAGGAAGATACAAACAAACAGAGGGAGGACTCCGGAATGAGCATGCTTAGCACAATAAGCAGCCACTACACAGCCGCGACCTAGGCCCTTGCCCATAAAATAAACAGAGCTGTACAGTACAGAAACCCCAACCCTGTTCACACAGTGACTGACACTCCAAACTCTCCCGAGTAGAGGGTTTCTGCCCCCTCTAGTCACACAACTGCCCAGTGCTAGTTACCGCCCTCATAACCCAAGGAGTGACTCTAGGGCGGCAGCAGAGAGGCTAGTTCTTTAGCTGGAAGGTGAGTTACAGAATTCCAGCTCCTCCCTGGCTGGCCATCCCCAGCCGCCAGGGCCCACATGGGCCCATCTCCCTCCGCAGCACCCAGATTCTCTCCAGGGAGAGAAAGTGGCTCGTTCTGGGCTCTCTCACTGGGAGCCAGTTTCTAGCGGGTGAAGGGGAACAGAGCAGCTGGGGACTCGAGATCGTTACATGGGGGCACAGGGACAGTGAGGAGCAGGCCAGTTGGAAGTTATTTATACACCACAAATTGAACAGGGAATCCAGAGAATCCCTTTCTCTGGGCTGAGAGGCAGCTGGGCCCAATGGGGCTCTGTCCCAGCTGCAGGGCAGGTGGCACAAGCTGGCCGGCAGTGGATCCCCCTCTGGGGACGATGCATGTTTGGCCTCGGTTTCCCTTGTTGGAAGGCACTGGGCTGAGAGCTGCCTGAGACAGGGGTTGCCCACTCTGCTGAAGCAGTGGCTAGGTTTAATTTGGTGTCGCTCTTTCTTTCTGGGCTGTGGAGAAATCGTGGGGGTGCAACGCAGACATGACGGTGACCTTTATGGGGAATGACTGGTGGGGTTGTGGATTTAAACCCTCATCTCTGAAGGAGGCAGAGCTGGACACTTTCCTCACACACAAAAAAAGGGAGGACTCTCTCCCCAGTGAAAGAGGCCCTCTGGTAGGGGAAGATGAGGGACTCATTATCAGCATCAAAAAATGTCACCAGCCCCTCTTCGTAATCCAGAGAAACCCAGATCCTCTGGGGGATGCAGCTCAGAGGCAAGATGACTTTCTTAGGCGAGGTGAGAGCCCAGTACTGACCTCCAGCCTGACCTACAGACCAGATCCCCTCCTCGGGGCTAAAGCTGATCTCTCCCTTCCTCCCCACAGACTCTCTGGCCACCCCCACAATATAGACTCCCCCACCCCCCACCTCCCAGCAATGTCTCCCCGAGGTGAATCCCTCACAGCCCAGCACACAGGCCCAAGAGTCAAATCTCTCAGGGTTGTTGGGCAGATCCTGCCATGTGTCTTCCCATCTCACACTTTTCCCATCCTCAGACAGGACGAGTTGGGGATGAGCCGTGTCTGGATCCAGAGTCACATTCACTGGGGGGAGAGAGAGAATCAGAGTGTTAGAGGCAGAGCTCAACCCTGGGGGACACTGGGACCATTTCTCACATTCCCCAGTAGCCCTGTCCTGACTGGGGCCCTCCCTGATTTCCTGCCCGTCCCAGGTTCTAGGGAACAGCCCCGCTGGGGGCTGAGCGGTGATTTCACTGCAGCTCCCCCTGACACTGGGTGGAAGGAGAGCCCTCCCCCGCCCATGGGGAAGGAAGACTGCTCTCCCCACAGAGTTCCCGCTCGCAGCCCATGGAAGGGCAGGAATGTGGGAATACAGCAGCTGAATCCAGGAGGAAAAAAAAGACAGGAAAGCATTGGGACTGGAGCAAAGAATGATGGGAGTCGTGCCCCCCTGAGACACTGGGGGATGGTCAGGCTGGCCCATCACCCTCACCCAGAAGAGGGCGGAGACATCACATCACTGACTCCAAGCCCATCTGTATATGGCACCACAACCCCCTCCTCACTCATGTGCTTAAATCGGTGATGGCCTCTCAGCCCCGCCCCATTCCTACAAGTCTCCAGTGGTGGGAAACTGCCATGAGGAGCCCCGCTCCTTCACCACAGGTCCACGGGCCTCCAAGTTGGGACCCAGCTACCACCTAACAGCTTGTTAGTAGGGGGTAGGTGAGTGGCCGATAGAACCCAGGCCCCACCGGTGCCATGACCCACAGGAATCTCGGGCAGAGGAACACCCAGCTCCACCCCTGGGTCCAACTAAACTAATTAAGCCTGACTCTTGGCTGGAATCTGACTGTGGCTCTGATATTTGGCATTCAGCCTCTGACTCCAGTTCTGACCTTTGGCTCCCGTTCCTGGCTTGGACTCTGGCTTGACCTATGACTCTAGCATCTGGCCACTGACTCGGGTGCTGACCCTCCGCTTTGTTTTCAGGCCCCTGTTCTAACCACCCTTGTCCTGGTCCTTAACAACGGCTCTGTTTGAGCCCAGAATTTTCTTCTGCAAGTGAATCTGAATCCACAAATGCGTCTCCTCTTTGGTGGTTCTCCTCATGACAATATCCACAGGAAAACTTACCCCTTTCACCTACGTTTTCCCTCTCCTTTGCCAAAAATTGATTCCATTTCTTCTCCGTGCCAGATAGCAGACTGTCTAGAGAGAAGGGGGTGGGGGAAAATGTGTTTTCATACTCTCATATTTATGACAAGATTTCCAACAACTAACGTGTTTCATTTCTGCGACACAAACACAAGGGAAGGGAGCTCAACTACCCCAAGAGAAATGAAGGGAGACAATGGAAAATAATGAATTTCACTTATTATTGTTGGTTCTTTATTGTATTTTCTCTTCCCTGACCCTTCCCAGGGTTTCCCGGGAATGTATAATCTTTTTATTTACTACTGTTGAGTTGGGCTTGACATTAACATTGTTTAGCCCAGGGGTTGGCAACCTACGGCATGCGTGCCAAACATGGCACGCCAGCCGATTTTGAGTGGCACGCTGCCTGCCCGGTGAGAGGAGGAGGAGGAGGGGCCAGAAAGCGCCACGCTGGGGGAAGCAGCAGGGGAGGAGGGAAACTTGGCTGCTGCAGGACCAAGCTTCTGCCTCCTGCCCCGCTTCTTCCCACAGGTTGGTGAGTTCCGGACCCTCCTCCTCCCCCTCCCTGCCAGCAATGGCCCTTGCGAGGGGGAGGGGGAGCGGAGCAGAGCCGAGCGCAGCGTGCTGGCTGCTCCGTAGAGGACGCAGAGAGAGGTAGGGACAGAGCCTGGGGGAAGGGGGTGGAACAGGTCATATCCCTCCCAGCCCCCTGCCATGAGCCATTCAGGGCGGGGGGCTGGGAGCACCCCCATACCCCATTCTGCCCTGCACCTCCACACCCCCCAGCCCTCTGCCCTGACCTCGAATCCCCCCCCAACACCCAGCCTTCTGCCATGTACCCACACACACACACACTCA